AGAGAGAGAGAGAGAGAGAGAGAGAGAGAGAGAGAGAGAAACAGAGAGTTTGGGCGAGAGTCGAGCGTATAAAGTAATTGGGTAAGCGTATTTTCCGCCGCGAACAGGCGCGATACACCCCCACGAAACGTCTCGCTTAAACGTTTCCGGGCCAACGGCGCCGTAAAATTCGCCGGTTGTGCGCGCGCAATAAATTCGCCGGTAATATTCTTCGGGGGCGGCGGAATATACATTTTGTCGAAATATTTTGCCGGTGGAGGCGCGAGCGCGCTTGTATCTCGCGCGGAATCGCATGAATATCGCGTCGGATATTGCGCGCGCCGCGTCGCAGTTGCAAATCCAAATTTGGCATGCTTCTGAGCTCTCGCGGATTAATACGGTGAAACCGGGAGATCGGCACACGTCAAGACGGTTTGAGAACACACCACGACGCCGGTCGTGGGTGGGCGCGCAAGTAATTCCGAACGCGACGTCGAGGAAGAAACGCCATTTTGTCGCTCTTTCGCGCAAATTTACGACGGCGATCCCCAAGCGAGAGCCGTCGCTTCCGGGGTGCAAATGGATGTAGCTATTTGTTCATAACTGCGTTTGGCGCCAAGTCAAGTGTCATTAGCGCGGCTATCCGGGCTAAACGATTTTCCGAAAGTCGTCGTCGTCGTCGTCGTCGTCGTGAAATGTCGTCGACCCGAACTCCTCGCTCTAAAGTTACTACGTACGAAATCTCTCGCGTAATGCCGGGAAACGCGCGATACAGAGAATCACCAGGCCACGCTTCGACCAGGCGAATCAAACCGTTACTTCCTGATCACTCGCATCGCTCGTCTCCTCTAAATGCGAGCCGCAGGAAACGTGTGCTTTCAAGCGTGGCCTGTTCCGCCTGTGCTTCCCGCGTCTGGAAACAGCGAAACACTGTCGTGCTTTGCAAGACTGACGGGCCGTTTAATCGTTATTTGTTGCTTTTTGGCGCCGTCGACACTACGTAAACACGCATTTCAATTAGTTTACTAATTGAGAACAATTCATATTAATAACGAGATCGGCATTCATTATATGAGCTGCTTATAATTTCAATAATAATGTAACGCGATCTGATTTATTAATGAAAAATTGTTCATTAGCAGCGCTATGTTGCTTCAAACGTGTAAACAAATAGTCGAGTATTATCGATAATTTCAAGCGTTTTATATAACGCGCGCGACATTTTACATGTCGTATGCATTGTATGTGTGTGTACTTCGCCTAAAAGCTTTAATCGAATTTTCCTTTTTATTGAAAATGTAAACTTTTGTTTGGTTATTTCTTTCTTTCTTTCTTTCGTATATCGTAAAATTTTTTCTATGTACTCTTTTTCGTTTCTGTAACGCTCTTAGATTTTGTCCTAAAGTGACAATAAATGCATTCATCTATCTATACGGAGAGAATTTTATAGTAAAAATTATATATACGATAGAGATTTTTCTTGTAATTTCGAGGAATTTTGTGATCAATATTCTATAGTAATTTGTCACTCTTTCACTTCTCGTATATGCTATCTATATTTTAGCAGCTGTGCGAAATGTACTATTAAAAAATTTGCGGAACTTACTACATTGAAAGAAAAATACTTAAAAAATAAAGAATAATGTAAATTATTTTATGTAAAATCTTTCATGTAATTTCTTCCCCACTATGTTTCCAGTTATTAGTAAGATGTGTTTTGCTAGAAAACATACAATGAGAGAAAAAAATTAAAAATAAATAAAAGATATTTATTCGATGACTATTAATAACACATTTGCTTAAATCTAAATTCTTTTCATAGAATAGCCAATTGTACTCACGAAAAGTTAAAGTTTTGAGCAAATTTTATCTTTCATTATATGTTCTCTGGCAAGACACATCTTGCTAATAACTGGAAATACACTGAGAACGAATTTACATGAAAGTAAACTATAATCCTCTCCGTGTGTCTACTTTGGAGCGGAGAAACTCGGTTACTCCGCGAGATGATGACGGTGCGACGGGAGATTCCGTCCTACTGTACGGCGAACGAAGCCGATCTAGACCACGTTAACGACCCTCAACTCGTATAAATCCGTCGACCTGACGAAGTAATCGATGCCGCACACCGCGGCGAGGTACTTCTTTGACGGCGAATAATCTCACCATACATCTCGCGCGCGCGCGCGCGCACTTATCGACTTTGAAACACGCTACCATTGTCCGCGCTTATATTATCGGAGAGGAGAAGCCGTAAGTTCCGCGGCGGTGCCCGCAAAGTTCACCGATAGCGTTGAAAATTTCGAAGACGGCTACGTCCCTCGCGGCTTCCCCAAAACAGCTAATTAAATTAACGAAGTGGAGTACACCGCATGCGGTATCCCGCCGCATCGCGCACGTCGTTCGGGGCGAGGAAACTTCGCGATTATGTATTCGCGAACATTCCGCGCGATTGCTCACTAAGTTGAGCAACAAATATTGCTCCCGATGCAAGATTGCATTTACGTAATGTGGCTTCTCGCAAAAATACTCGCTCTCCGGAGTGAGACGGATGTTCGTCGCGAAGAAGAATCGCGCGCATTTGCAACTGAGAAAAACCCTTCGGGTTATCAGAATAAAAGCACTTTTGCTGTTTGATGATCGTTAGAGAGACAAATCAAACAGTTACCTTTGCAAATCATTTCTCATCATTTGTCATATTAACAAGCATCCATTGCTTGAAATACAAATCGCACTTGTTCTCATCTATTTAAGTCAGGTAAATTGTCTCCATTGTAGAAGTGTTGCTCAGAGCAGAAAATTATAAAAGAAATAGAGCAGAAAGTAACAAAAGCATATTTGTTGTTTGATCGAAACAAATCGAACAGTCGTCGTTGTGAATAATTTTTTATCGTTTGTTATTTACATACATTGTCTAAGATACACATTTACTCTCGTCTATTTAGGTCAAGTTAATTGTATCTCTATTACAGAAGTTGCTTCGAATAACAAATTAAAAGCAACAAAGTCACGCTTGCTATTTGGTAATCATTAGGGAAACGAACAATTATCTTTGCAAATCATTTCTCATTATTTGTCATTTTAGCAAACATACATTGCCTGAGACACAAATCGCATTTGTTCTCGTCTATTTAGGTTAGGTTAATGTATCTATTACAGAAGTTGCTTGGAATAGCAAATTGAAAGTAACAGAATCACGCTCGCTGTTTGGTAATCATTAGGGAACCAGATTGCTACCTTTGCAAATCATTTTTCATCATTTGTCATTTTAGCCAACGTGCATTGCTTGAGACACAAATCACCTTTGCTTTCGTCTATTTTGGTCAGGTTAATTGTATCTCTACCACAAAAGTAGCGAATATTAAAAGTAACGAATCATTTGTTCCTAGTACAATGGGGTTGTTTGCTTTCTCATATAAACAAACCATTGGTTAACTTTGTTAAATTAGCGAAACCTTTTCTCTCAGTGTGACTTAGCTGGAGGCTCTGTTGAAACGAGAGAGAAAGGACTCGATCGTCGATTTTAGGTAGATGGTTGAAGCTCCAGCTGATTATTTCTCCGGTTCCGCACGTCTGTCGCGCGTCAGCGTTTTATTCCGAGAAACCGCCGTCGGCGACGTTAATTCCCGATCAATTTCAATTACGGGCGACGTGCGCACGTTGATCACGCGGCGGGAATACGTCGTACGTGCGCGAGCGGCCTGATCGGCCAGGCGCACGGTAATTACAGGAAACACCAAGTAACATTCCGTCCGTGGCACGGCAACACGCATCGACGGCTCCTTTTCGATAGCCGGATAATCGTCGTTTCATTACGCATCGCCCGTCGAAATTAATAATGATCGCATCCGCGGATGCTCTCTAAAGTGCAATCGGTGTATTCCTCACTGAACTGTGCTATAACTGGCGGTTCAGTTATAAGTACAGCACTGCGATCAGTAAAATCTGGCTGATTGGATCAGTGTGATAGTAGCGCGAATTCGCACCCAGAAAAAATTCTTATTCGGAAAATATCTTTATTGACATGTTAATCTTGAAATGAGATTACACGGCGTTAAACGAAGATAAATTTTTTATAGGAATACATTTTATATAATTCATCAACAAAGAGAAAAATTTATGTTCTTATTATTCATAAATAATTCTCATTAATGGAAAACACAAAATATTGAGAACATGCTCTTTTAAGTGTGTGTTATATATATTCCAGGTTTTTGCCTATTCATTTAAATCAATATACAAATTAATAATCGTTATTTCGTATATAAAACAATTATTTTATATATAAACAATATATAATTTTGTTAGAAAAATTTTTAAGTTTTAAACTTCAATAACGTTAGAATTTTATGCAAATATTATAAGTTTCTTGCGAAATATGATTATATTGATGATAACAATATTTTCTTTCGACATTTAAAAACACATTTCCAATCAAATATTTTATGCTTTCCAATTATTTTTGCATAATAAGAACATAGGTTTTTCTTCATTCAATCATATAAAATATATAAATAACTTGTCTTCGTCTAACATTATATAATTTCCTTTGATATGTCAAAAATAAAGACGTCTTCCAAACAAGAGTATCCTTTCTTCCTATGCAATATCTTGATGCATTTTGCGAACACGAACAGCACGCAAAACAGTCGTCAATTTTGTCATCATATATTTGCAGAAAATTAAATTTGATATAACACATAATAAATTTGCTTATCATGGATTTTTTGCGGTAAAATCTTGCACCAAATTAAAATTAGCGAGAAATAAGACGAAGCAGTAAAGTGGAAGTGTTTCCACTGAAAATCAATGTGTATTCGCTGATCATCGCTCTGAATCAGTCCTTTTACCGATTCAATCAGAAACATTTTACTGATTCACTTTGATAAAGTAGGAATACGCGCAATAGAAATAGAACGAGCCTGACGGAGAAAGAGAGAAGGGCCAACGGACGGCCAGGGGGGATCGAGGGGCTACTAAGAAGGGGATGCGACATTAATTCAACAGGTTCTCTCTCTTACCTGTCCAGCTGGCGATCCGCGCGCTCTCCGCGGTCCTCTCGTCCTTCCAACCGTTCCGTCTCGATTCTTTTCCCTCGCCCACCTGCTCCCGATCGCTCCGCGACTCGCTGAGCGACGTGCCTGGAATAAATTATTATCGCGTTACGATCTGCCCTTTCCGCTTCGCTCGTCGCCCAGATTTCCGCGGAGGCGGCCGCGACGATGGTTTAATTAAACGATCGGCTACTGTCGATCGTGCGGAAACGCGACTCACGTTGGCGAATTTGCGATCGACGACTTGTCGCCTCGGACGAACTTACATTATCGCCCGTTACCGCACGTCGTGCTGACGCGAAAAAGTCGAACGCGCCGGTATTACGGTATTACGCTCGTAATTCTGTAACGGCGCGGTGAATTTATCACCTAGCGCCGGGTCAGCGAACTATCGTAAAAGGGTCGAGGGTTTCGCGGCAGACTGGTCGTTTCCGAAACGCAATAATCGCGCGTAAAAAGTCCAACGAGCTGTCGTACAGTAAGGTGAAGGCACTACTGACCGGACGCGTGTTTAATCCTGGACACTCTTACGGTTTTGGTCTCCAAACACGAATATCTGAACTTTCAGCACGGAATATTATATGGGGTGTGAGTCACCCCTGACGTCAGATTCTAGAATATTTCGGCTGCTTCTTATATTAAAGGAAAATATGAAGGATAAATTGTGCGATTTGTTTAGGAGTTTAAATATCGTGATTAGCTTTCAACCAATTTATCCTTTATACCTTTTGCTATAATATAAAAAATAACAGAGGTATTTCTGTAGGATAATATTAGGTAACTCATCTTGTATATTGAATATACATATACTATATATAGTATACTATATATAGTATACTAGATTTGGTTTCCGGGTTTGAACCGCGTGGATTCATCTTTGTTTGATCCCGATGTTTCGCGAATATTTCAGTTCGCTTCATCAGAAAGGAATGACCCGATGCCGAGTTGCTCCTGAGAAGTCTTCCTTATATAGTAATTGATATAGGGGGAGAGAGAGGATACATATATATTCTGTATCGAAAATTTAAACATTCGTATTTACCAGATAGATGGGCGTACGTAAATTTGGCAGCAACTTCACTAGTCGATTTGTAAAGATTATATCATTTATGAGTAGTTCTTATGGCACTTATATTCATCATACGGAATAACGAAATAAAATTACAAAAGAAATATGAAAAAAAAAATGATTTGCTCCGGACAATGTGTCATACAAGATATAATATGAAGATCTGAGTGTAAGTTTTAGTAAATTTGTAGCTGCGTCAGTTTAACGAGAAATTCGCATTATTGTTTTAATGATTCATTCAGTACGGTATATTTGCCTTATAAATGTAATAAGAGAATGTTAAAGTTTCCACCATCGACGTCGTGATAATCGTGAAATCTATCTGGATTGTTTCATTGCACTTGGTGTGCATACTTCGCTACACCGATAATGAATATTTTCTTCTCACGACGAGAGAAAGAAGGAAATTATAGAAATTGAATTTTGTTAATCTATAGGTGATTTAGCCCGGGTCCATAACCTTGCCGTAAGCCGTAAAAGAATTGACTAACCACAGTCGATCCCGGATAGGATTTTATCGGGGCATGCCCCAAATCCATAAAGGGCCTAAATAGGCATGCCCTAAAATAGGCTTGGCATCGTTGAGCCTAGAAAGGGTGTACAAAGACAAGTTCTGAGTAGAATTTCCTTAACAGAGTCTGAATAGGCACTATTGGGGATGCTCCTAGGCCTACCACTATTGCGCCTAGAAAGAACTTACAAAAACAAAGACAAATTCTGAGTAGAATTTCTTAAACAAACTCTGAGTAGACACTGTTGGGATTCCCCTAACAAGGCCTATAACTGTTGTACCTAGGAAGGGTGTACAAAGGCAAATTCTGAGTAGAATTTCAGACCCTGAATAGGCGTTGTTGGGGATGCCCTCAGTAAGTCCTGTCAAGCAAAAGGATTTCTAAAGGAAAATTCGTAAATAGGCTCAAAATTTGGCATAGATGTGGATGTCCGTAGATATCATCAAATCAAAAAAACATGTACTTATATAATTCAGTCAGGGTCTCGTTTATTCAATTCTTGAAATAGTTTAAAGTCTTACAGAATTTTAATTTACAGTCTTAGACTGAAGTAAAATTCACATAAGTTTGAAGTAAAACCAAAATACCTATGATTTTGGTTCTCAAAAATACAGTCTTCCAAATAAGGCATGTCCACATAGGATTCCACACAGCAAGCTTTCCGAAAGATAATTTGGAAATTATATTGAAATATAACATAGAAATAATTAAGAAATATTTGTGCAACATTTTATCAAAATCTTTTTCACTAAAATATTTCAGAAATGGCTTATAATAAGCGTTGATTTATATATAATTATATATGATTATATATGATTATATATAAATTTAATTAATTTAATGAAATTTTATATGGTAAGGTGGATTTCTCCTTCTTTTAATTGTACTACTTTATAATTACTCAAAGTTAATAGTCTTTTATGACTTTATTTATTTAATAACAATTAACAATAAAAAAATTTTACTATAAAAATTTAAAAATAACGAAATGGAAGTGCGGGATTTTGTAGACCTTACCTCACTAGCTAAGGGTAAAATTAACAATAAAAGTACGAATAATATAATTTAACTATAATTTAATATTATAATTTAATATAATTTAACGAAAATATAATATAATATAAGATAATATAATTTTTATTAAAATTATCATTTTATTAAGTTATATTATCATTTTATTAAGTTATATTATCAAAAAATTATATTACTGTGTTAATCATAACACATATGGATAAAATGTAAGATACTTAAATGTTGGTCAATTTGACTTACGGCTTAAAGCGAGATAGCAGATTCGGAGTTAATATATGTCTATAGGAAGAATAATTTCTCTCGCTGGAAGATAAGAGCGGACGATATCTCGCGGAAAAATGCTCGAAGTCTTAACAATTAGTATATTCGCGCGCTTTTCACGACACAATCGCGATGTTTCAAAGTTGGCGCAATTAAAAAGCAGCGTGTACGCGATCAGGGTCATGACTCACGCTGTATTACGCAGACACAGCGCGCCGTCGTTTGTACGTAGTATATAACTAACTTACGAAAAACGTATAACGTGGAACAGTCTCGCAACTTCTCATGCTTTTCCGCACAAAAGAGCCGCGTTTTCGTTTGCGCGGCTTTCAACCGATCCACTTCATGAATTTACGTATAAATGCGGGATCGCGTGTGTGCGCGAGAACGGAGTCGTTGGTGATTTAGATTAATTATTCGTCGACATTTCTCTCTCTCTTTTTCTTTCATTCTCTCTCTCTCTCTCTCTCTCTCTCTCTCTCTCTCTCTCTCTCTCTCTCT